CCCAGCTAATTTTTGTATTTTTTAGTAGAGACGGGATTTCACCATGTTGGCCAGGATGGTCTCAATCTCTTGACCTCGTGATCCACCTGCCTTGGCCTCCCAAAGTGCTGGGATTACAGGTATGAGCCGCCACAGCTGGCCAAAAATTTTTAAAAATTAGCTAGGTGCACTGGCATGCATACCTGCAGTCCCAGCTACTCGGGAGACTGAGGCAGAGGATCACTTCAATATAGGCGTTCAAGGCAGTGAGCTACGAGCACACTACTACACTCCAGCCAGAGTAAAAGAGTGAGACCTTCTCTCTAAAAAAAAGACCATTTAGGCCGGGCACGGTGGTTCAAGTCTGTAATCCCAGCACTTTGGAAGGCCAAGGCGGGCAGATCATGAGGTCCGGAGTTCAAGACCGGACTGGCCAACATGGTAAGACCCCATCTCTACTAAAAAATACAAAAATTAGCTGGGCGTGGTGGCTCGTGCCTGTAATCCCAGCTACTTGGGAGGCTGAGGTAGGAGAATTGCTTGAACCGGCAACGGGAGGTGGAGGTTGCAGTGAGCCAAGATGTGGCGCCACTGCACTCCACCCTGGGCTGCAGGGCAAGACTCCATCTCAAAAAAAAAAAAAGACCATTTAGCAGAGACCTAAAGGAAAGTGAGATCAAGATGTATTGATACTCCTATACATTTACCACAAATGGTGCAGCCACTTTGGAAAGCAATCTGGCAGTTTCTCAAAAAGAGTGCAAAGATGACCCAGAATTCTACTCTAGGTATATACCCAAGAGAAATGAAAACATACACATCCTCGCAATAATTTGTACATGGACTTTCATAACAGCATTATTAATAATCAAAATGTGAAAATAACCCAAATGTCCACCAACTGGTGAACAGATAAAATGTAGCGCAGCAGCACCCACTCATCTACAGGGGATGCTCCCAAAACCCAAGGCAGGTGCCCAAAACCTCAGAAACTTCAGATAGTAACAAACCCTATATAAACTATTTTTTTTTTGCCTGTATATACAAGCCTATGAAAAATTTTATCAATTAGGCAAAGTAAGAGATTAATAATCACTAATAATAAAGTAGAGCAACTATAATAATATAGCACCTCTACTCTTACGCTTTGGGCCATTAGTCAAATAAATGTCACTTGAACATACACAATGCAATATCACCACGGTCAATCTGATCACCGAGATGGATACGAAGTGACCCTCAGCCAGGGAACATGTACAACATGGATACACTGGACAAAAGGATGATTCATATCCCAAGTAGGATGAAACAGAACAGCTCAAGATTCCACCACGCCGCTCAGAACGGCATGCAATTTAAAACTTAGGAATTACTTATTTCTGGAATTTTCCACGTAATATTTTCAGACCATGGTTGACCAAAGGTAAGTAAAACCATGGGAAATTAAAGCACAGATAAGAGGGTAATACTGGATAAAAGGCCATAAATAGGAATGAAGATTTAGCCAGGCACAGTGGCACCCACCTGTAGTCCCAACTATTTGGGAGGCTGAGGCAGAAGAATCACTTGACTGATCATAAGAATTTGAATCCAGTCTAGGCAACACAGCAAGACCCAACATAATGAAACAAAAAAAAAAGTAATGGAAGTTTTGATACCTAAATGAATCTTGAAAACTGGTTGCTAAGTCAAAGAACCCAAACCCTGAACCCGACAGAATCGCCTGAACCCAGAAGGTGGAGGTTGTAGTGAGCCAAGATCGCGCCACTACACTCTAGCCTGGGTGACAGAGCATGACTCTGAATAGGGGAAAAAAAAAAAAAAAAAAAAAAAGACTGGGCGAGGTGGCTCACGCTTGTAATCCCAGAACCTTGGGAGGCCGAGGCAGGCAGATCACAAGGTCAGGAGTTTGAGACCAGCCTGGCCAATATGATGAAACCCCGTCTCTACTAAAAATACAAATATTAGCCAGGCGTGGTGGTGCACACCTGTAGTCCCAGCTACACAGGAGGCTGAAACAGGAGAATTGCTTGAACCCGGGAGGCGGAGGTTGCAGTGAGCCGAGATCACACTGCACTTCAGCCTGGGCAAGACTCTGTCTCAAAAAAGAAAATAAAACAATAAATAAATAAAATAGGTGAATTGTATGACTTGTGAATTATATTTCAATAAAGCTGTTTTGGCCAGGTATGGTGGCCTGTAATCCCAAAATTCTGGAAAACCAAGGCAGGAGGACCACTTGAGGCCAGGAGCTCCAGACCAGCCTGGGCGACATAGTGAGACCCATCTCTACAAAAATTTTTAAAAATTAGCCAGGTGCAGTGGCATGCACCTGCAGTCCCAGCTACTTGGGGGGCTGAGACAGAAGAATCACTTGAATCTAGGTGTTCAAGGCTACAGTGAGTTATGATCACACTACTACACTCCAGTCTGACAAAAGAGTGAAATCTTCTCTCTTAAAAAAAAAAAAGAAAGAAAGAAAAATCTGGCTGGGCGCAGCATTTCACTCCTGTAATCCCAGCACTTTGGGAGGCCAAGGGAGTTGGATCACTTGAGGTCAGCAGTTCGAGACCAGCTGGTCAACATGGCAAAACCTTGTCTCTACTAAAAATACAAAAATCAGCCAAGTGTAGTAGCATGGTTTCGCCATATTGGTCAGGCTGGTCTCGAACTCCTGACCTCGGGTGATCAACCTGCCTTTGCCTCCCAAAATGCTGGAAT